ATAATAATGGCCAGTAAATGAAGACTGGATGATGAAATAAAGTGTTTCTCCCAATAGAATGTGATGAGAAATGCAGCTCTTCTCTCAGTAAGAACTAATATATGTGTGTTGCTAGAGCTGTCTAGTTTCAATGTTAAGAAGGCTTCTTGCCTTACTATAACTCTGAAGGAACAGGAGAAATTTCAGGAAGGATTCTTGGCTTTAGTTTTTTTGAGACAAGGTCTCATGCAGACCAGGCTCTCTTTAAACAGGTTATGAAGCTGAGGATGGCCTTAGACACCTGATCCTCCTGTCTCCACCTTCCATATGTTGGGATTACAGATGTGCAGCATGGCAGCCAGTAAGTAAAGATTCTGGAGCACTAATACTGACTGCGGTACCTGGCAGAGACTCTAACACTCAACCCTTCCATCCTTGTAAGATGTGCAGTGGGGCCAAAAAGTCATTACTCCTGCTGATAAGAGGCGTGGGATGTGGTCCCAAGATCTGAGTCCAGAATGCAGATTGTCTGGCTCCCCCATGAGCCCTGGAGGCGGCTCTGATTTACCATTCTGGTCCCGGCAGCTAAGGGTGTAGAAAGTTTCCCTCCGCAGGATGATCTCTTGGGCAATGATCCCAAAGCTGTACACGTCTCCTTTCTGAGAGATGTTGGCTCGGCGCAGGTGCTCTGGAGCAGTCCACAGGTCTGTGCACAAGACATTGACATAGCAAAGTTTGTGGGGGTGTGATAGCTGTGGGTCTCCAACATGCTTTTCATTTTTTACATTTAATTTACTTATTTATTGGGGGGCAGCATGCCACTGTGTGCATGTGGAGGTCAGAGGACGACTTGCAGGAGTCAGTTTTCTCCTTCCACCATGTGGGGTCCAGGGAACCAACTCGGGTCATCAGGCTTGGCGGCGAGCACCTTGACCTGCTGAGTCATATTACTGGTCCTCCAACATTCTTTTTTATTTATTTTTTTTCTCCTTTTTTCAGCACTGGGCATGAAACGCAGGGCCTTACATATGCTAGGCAAGCACTCTCACAATGAGCTATACCCCAGCCCCTTGCTTTTCTCATTTGTACACACCCACTGTGAGTACAGGGTCCTAAACTTCTGAGGACTTTATGCTAATGCTGGTGTGAGGTGGTAGAACATACACCTTTTCAGTCAACCAGGAAATTCTAGGATGTCAGTAAGGTCATATGTTCTCCAACACTGCAAGGATCATGGTTCTGAAAACCCTCAAGGTCTACCTAGATAGAATAGGGTCTGGGGGATCGTGGGTGCTCCCTGACTCTATGTTAAGTGAATGAAATAGAATATGAAATGCTGAGGAATTCATTTTTAATAATTTTTATGGTTCAGAGAAACTCAGTGCTTTTTATATGATAGCAGACCCTTTACCAATGAGCTATATACACACCTGGCTCAAGGGTGGTGAATTTACTACGTTACGGGACATGAACCTATGAAAGTTTTATGAGCAAGTAAATATAAATTAAACACCAAATTATATTATAAATATATTTTATTTAAATTATAACTTATTATTTATATTTTAAAGTTATTTATACCTTTAAATATATAGTTATGGTTTAAAGATGAATTGCTGCCCCAAACAGTTCATGCATTAAAGACTTGGTGTCTGGCTGGTGGCAGTGTTTTGGAAGCTTTTGGAAAATTTAGATGAGGCCTAGCTAACTAGGGGGCTGGGTGTGTATCTGCGGGGCTGGATCTGGCTCCAGCCACTTTCTGTTTCCTTCTCTGTTCCCTGGCTGCAGTGAGGTAAACAGCTTCAGCCTCTATACCCTCCGACCACCATGATATTCAGCTTCTGCCCAGGCCCGAAGGAACAGAGCCAACCAGTCATCGGACTAAAGTGTCTGAAACCATGAGCCAAGATAAATCTGATCCCATTGTGACAGCAATGAAAACCATGACAAATGCAGTTGCTAAGAGAAGACAGAGACCCCACATGTAGCAAAGACTTTCATTGATGTTTTCCAGGTGTGCCTCCAGGCCAGCTGCTGCCCACAGAGGTGTTTGCTTTTTTCCCATAGTATTCAAGCATGCAGTTTATTCACATTTTACTATGTTCCTGTCACTCTCTAATGCTTTGTCTCGTCCACTTCACACGAGTGAAATGTCCTGTTTCCTGTGTCCTGCATTCAGATCCTAAGCATTCTTGCATTTTACATGTCATATTCAGTGATTCTAGGGAAACACAGTTCGTTTTCTTTTAACAACCCTTGGGAAGCTCCAGGTTCACCTAGCTCCTGGTAAACTTTAGAGATTCCTGTCTCCAGCAGTCTCAATGGACAGCAGGCTCGCCAATATGTTTATGATGCTATATGCTTTCTTTGTTCGGATCGTCGTCCAAAAGCATATCGCCTTTCTGAATTCCTGTCTTATGGATGATTGCAACTTGTGATTTATATATTATATGACTGATTCTAAAGTTTTGAGGTCCCTGAAGTAACAATCTATTTATGATGAAACTTCAAGTAACAGTTCCACAGGCTCAACTGGAGAATTGAAGGAGGTTGGGGTTTGACCTGCAGTGCATCTGATTAATGTCATGTGAGTTGTCTGGTCAAAGACAACTTTCCCTTGCATTTTGGACCAACTTGGCACCCAGCAGGTCTTCAAGGAGAACTCACTGGGGGCTGGGGAGATGGCTCAGAAGGTAAATCACTTGCTGTGCAAGCATAATGACCTGAGTTCATGTCTCCAAAACCCATGTAAATGCTGGGTAAATGTGATCGCTCACCTGTCATTTCAGTGCTTGGAGACAAGGGATCTCCAGAGCAAGCTGGCTAGCCAGACTAGCCTTATCGATGAGCTCTGGGCTCAATTTAGAGACCCTACCTTGATGAATGAAGTGGAGAGTGATCAAGGAAGGACTCTCAACATCTGCCTCAGGCTTCCACATGAATGGGCACACATATGGACGTGTGCCCATACATATGCAAATACTCAAACATACATATTACACAAGTATGCATATTCAAGGGCGGGGGAAGAACCCTTTGGGTTGAATCCAGTATCATAAACTTCACATGATTGTGGAAGTAGAGGCCAAACTGCAATTTTTCTTCCACTAAAGAAAAACAAGAGGATTGTAAAGCAGAATTGCAATTAAGAGTTTACTTTGGGGATTTCATAATATGTTGAGATAACATGAGCTCTAGATTTCTGAGGCTATTTAACTGTGACTTGTAGTAAGGAAAGAAGGAGAAATGCTACATCTTCATGTACACTTTGTGACCCTCACAACCCTGAAAATAATAAGACTCTATCTCACAAATAAGATTTTTTTATTTGTTATTTTTCACTATTTTTAAATTTTTGTGTGTGTATTAGTGTATTGCCTACACATATGCAAGTGCAACTGTGTCCTGCAATGCCTGTGGAGGCCAGAAGAGGGCATCAGATTCCCCTGGAAATGGAGTTATGAAGCGTTGTTAGCTGCTCTGTGGGTGCTGAGAATGGAACCTGGGTCCTCTGCAAGAGCAGACAGTGCTCTTAACCACTGAACCATCGCTCAGCACCCAGCCCAAATCATTCTATCATAGATAATTGGATGATGATGGTGGGAAATGTGCATCCTACTTTGTGTTCTGTCTTCTTGGGTAAAACTCCAACCTCCCCAAGCCTCACTTCTGTCCTCTACAAAGGAAAAGAGTTAAACTAGATGATTTCAAAGGCCTCTTCCTGCTTCAACATCCACAGATCCGTAAGTTGAGGCTTTACGCTGTTTTACTTGCCTCAGGAGACACACAGCTAAATACTGAAGACAACATCCACAGAAGCCATCTATTTAACTTAAAAAACATTCATTGACTGACAGAGAGGAGATGAACCAGAATGTCACCTCCTGAGGCTCTAGGTGCTAATTCTGTGGGCAGCATCATTGTGTTCCAAACACTCTGTGTGAGTCGGATAGAGAATTTTAAAAGAAAATTTTAAAAAAGGTACTAGTAAAATTTTCATCCTTACAGACCTTTTTTGGGTGGTAAAATGGAATTGCACCCAAAATCTGTGATCTTCACCACCATCCTGCTGTCCACCACGCAGTTGGTAGATTTCAGACGCCCATGGACTTCAATCTTGCTGGAGTGGAGATATGACATCCCCTGTGATTTTTTTAGGAAAACAAAGAGATATGACACACTTTGGCTGACAGAGCATTTGAAAGAAAGAAGTGACATTTCAAAGTCATTCAGCTCACAAGTAGCCATGCAAGCCCCAGCAATTGCCTATACACTGTGAAGTGTATTTGGATAACAGGGTAAAAAGGAAGTTGTCTAAAACTCTACTTAAATAGCTGTATATAATACAAGACACAGTGCTTTGTAAGTGTGCATGTTTGTATATGTGTGTTCATACAGGTAACCAAGTGTGTGTGTGGTGTGGAGGCAGAAGTCAGGGTGAGCCTTGGGTGCCATTCCTCAAGTGCCAGATACCCACCTTGGTTTTTTTCTTAATTTTGTGTTTCATTTATTATTATTGTGTGTGTATGGTATATGGGTGTGGGCACATGTGTGGCATGGCTTATATGTGTAGGTCTAAGGACACCTTTCAAGAATTGGTTCTCTCCTCCCACTGTGAACTCAGATTGTCAGGTTTGTGCACACGTTTTCACCCACTAAGCCACCCAGCTTGCCCCCTCACCTTGGTTTTTGAGACGGTGTCTCTCATTGGGACCTGGGGTTTGCCAACTAGCCTGGCCAGTTGGCCAGCAAGCCCCAGGAATCTGCCTGTCTCTACCTCCCAATTTTGGGTTTGCTTGTATGCATCGCCACGCCTGACCTTTTTTTCTTTCTCTCTCTCTTTTTTTTTTTTTCCATGAACTCAGGTCCTCGTGCTTGCTTGGCAAGCATTTCACCTACTGAACCATTCTGCCAGCCCTGTTTTTGTTGTTTAAATGTTTTCATTTGCTAATTATTTGGTCTGTGAAACAGAAATACTTCACTACTGGTCTTTTGAAGGGGGGGGGAGTCTAACTTTGGTGTGTGTGCTGCCTTCTGGTGGTCATAGGTGTAATAGCAGAAGTGTTTCAGCTTGGCTCGTGTGGCGAACAGGCTGTATGTAATACTGACATTTTCACATTTTCTCTAGCTGCTTTGTACCTGATGTGACGTTTAGATGACTTTTAATTTTTTATTTATTTTTATTTTATGTGTTGAGTGTTTTGCTTGTATGTATGTAGGTGGACCTGTGCATGGAATGCCCATGGAGGTCAGAAGAAGGAGTCGGATTCCCCTGAAACTGGAGTCACAGATGTTTGTTAGCCACCATACGGGTGCTGGGAACTGAACCCAGGTCCTCTGTAAGAGCAGCCAGTGCTCTTAATTGCTGAGCCATCTCTCCAGTCCTAACTCTTAGATCATTAGACTGTACAAAACAGTTCAAACTCAGGACTGACTTCTTCATTCTGAATCAAGGCCCTGCTTACAGCAGTCTATTACAATCTATTATGGTCTTCTTCATTCTGAAGTGAGGCCCTGCTACTGCAGTCTATTTCCTTCTTTCATATTATGTCTGACAGTTTTCATACTCAAATTTATTAACAGCTCAGGGCAAAACAGTTGTTTGTACTTAGTATTTTCTTTTATAGACTTGAGGATTCCATTGTCTCCCTCAATGTTGTATATGATTTTTAGTTTGAACAAATCTATGAAAATATGTTTCCACACCTAGAGTACAAAGATACTCTAATGGGGGCTGGAGAGATGGCTCAGTGGTTAAGAGCACTGACTTCTCTTGCAGAGGACCTGGATTTGATTCCTGGTACCCACATGGTGGCTAAGAGCCATCTTTAACTCCAGTTTCGGGGGAATCTGACACCCTCTTCTGACCTCCATGGCATTGCACAACATGGGTGCACTCACATACATGCAGGCAATACACTCATACACATAAAAAATTTTTAAAGTAAAATAAAAAAGATACCATAATAATAAGAAATACAACCAATATATATTGAACATTTTAATGTATAGGCTTTGTGCTAAGCACACACATTATTTCACAGAAGTCCTCACCTACGATGTCACTGTTATCATTTCACAGGTGAATCTGACACACGACGTCCAATAATTTGCTGTACCTGTTTTCCTAAGTTTAATTTTCACAAGTGTGTTTGTGTGTGTGTTCATAGGTCTCTTACCTTAGCAATGTCATATAAGACAGAGATCTTAAACTCCCAATCCATGAATGTACCATCAGGGTAGGAGATGGTGTCGTTTAAAACTTCCTGAATAGGAGGAAAAAGACAAGAAGGGAGGTGAAATGTTGCAAGGGAAGAGTGTGGAGAGACTATTAGGGCTTCTAATCAGGCAGAAGAAAGCAAAACTCCTTCACCCTCAATACATATCGCTGTGGGCTGTCTGCAGAGAAACAATCTGAGAAATATGTTAGGCAATTTTATTGTGTGGGTATCATAGATGCTCTCATACGATCCCAGGGCAGAGAGCCTTCCAAGTATCTAGGTCACATAAGTAAGTGTGAGCATGACAGAGATGCTGAGTGCAAAGTGATCCCCCGCCCCCGCACATACACACACTCCATGGTCTATTGCTCCTAGAGCCACGATGGGCAAAATAACATGAGATTAAATCAAGCACAATCAAAATGACTTGGGAGTCTGACACAGGAGGATTTCTATGAGTTTGTGGTCAGCCTGGGTTACATAATGAGACCTGTCTCTAAAAAAGAAAGAAAAATGAGATGTATCAGGCTGCTGGTTAATATAACATAGTTCATCAGTAAAGTTTTTTTTTTAGGTTTTTTTTTTTTTTTTTGGTCTTTTTGAGACAGGGTCTCCCTGTAGACCTAGCTGGCCTGGAATTCACTATGTAGACCAGGCTGGACTTGAACTCACTGAGATCTGCCTACTTCTGTGTCCCAAGTGTTGGGATTAAAGGCATGTGCCACCAGGGCTGGCTAAATGTTTTTATAAATAGAAATATGCTCTGAAACAGTGTTAAAGTTCACAGCATAGTAATCTAAAATAACAGTAAAGCATATGGTATAGTAGACACATAAGCTAGCATAGTCAGAGCTCTTGAGTGTCTTCATCAAATATGTGCTATCCTTAAAAGGCAGAGACAGGAGGATCTGAGTTCAAGGACACCCTGGGCTACATAGTGAGTTTGAGGTCAGCCTGGGCTCCATGAGACCCTGTCCCAAAAAACCCAAACATGCAATTAAAACAGTGATACAACAGGCAGAACAAATGCTTTGCTAACCTCAGCATCCCCAAGAAGCACAGCAGTGCATTGTGACCCCACCAGGTGACAGGAGTTGTCAGCTCTGCTACACACCCATGGAGCCACTCTCATATCTACAGCCTGTTGTGGCCTTTGGTATGTGACTCTTTCTTTTCTTGTGCCTTCTGACAACTGAACCCATGTTTCATCCGTTTTTAAACTTTTTTCTTTTCTGTTTTTTTTTTTTTTTTTACCTTGAGACAAGGTCTCCCTTTGTAGCCCAGGCTGACTTGGAACCCCCATGTCAGCTCTTCACAGGGACTAGTTTCTTTTCTGTTTTTGTCCTTTCTTGCTTCTGCTTTCTTGCTTCTGCCTCTTGAGTGAAGGGATGACAGACATGTGCCACCATGCCCAGGTGGACTAATGTTTTTAAACAAGGAATTGTTTCATTAGAACTATGTCTTATTTCTCAGTGTCAATGGTTTCCATTGGCTTAGTTGCTCTAGGTTTTCTTTAAGTTGGTTAAGATCTCTGGATTTTTGTGGAACCATAAGAACGAGACTTTTGAACTAATTTAACATAATTGATGGTTCTTGTAAAGATACTGGGGTGGGGATGGTTTAGTTAAACACATAACTGTTTTCACTATAACTCTGAACAGAGCCCTAACTGATAACAATAATTTCTTTGTTTAAAAATAGTTTATTTATTTTATTTTTATTTTTTATGTGGAAGAGTATATTGCTTGTACGTGTGTAAGTGCACCCATGTCGTGCAATGCCTGTGAAGATCAGAAGGTGTTGGATCCCCTGGAACCGGAGTTACAGATGGTTGTTAGCCAACATGTGGGTTCTGAAAATTAAACCCGGGCTCCCTGCAAGAGCAGCCAGTGCTCTTAACTGCTGAGCCATCTCTCCAGCCCTGTTATGTTTGTTGTTACTGTTGTTTAACATTTATTTATTTATTGGAGAGAGAAGGCATGCCACAGTGCACATGTGGAGGTCAGAGAAGCTTGTGGGAGTTGGTTCTCTCCTTCCATCCTGTGGGCTCCAGGGATTGAACTCCGGCTGTCGGGCTTGGTGGCAAGCACCTTTACCCACTGAGCCATCTCACTGGCCCCAAGAAGCACTGATTCTGAATGAAGTCCAAGGGAAGGGGATCATGTATCCAGTTCCAGTTCATGTCTATTTTGTATAAGTGTTATAGTCCCTTCTTTGCTGTCAAAGCATGCTGATAAGTTACATGGCCACCCTGTACAAAGGTGTCTGAAAGACTAAAAGCTTTAGGTAGGGCACATGCCCAGACACTGTTCAAAGTGAGGGTGCATATTGCAGTCTTGTCTCGGTTCCTTCCTCTTCTTGCCTTTTCCAAGTCCTATTCCTGATACCCCACACTGATCTTTGCATGCAAACTATGTCTGCCCTTCTAAAGTACTCAGTGACTTGAGATTCTTGGCTTAATGCTTGCTTCTTCCATAAATTTGAGAATTTGACTCAACTTTGTCCTGGTTCCTCTTTTTGCTTTGGATCTGTTCATACAGAATCCCTGAGCCCACCAGGCATCTCCTGGGTCACCAGCTCCTCATGAGGGAGAGAGGGGTAGGAAGTCAGGTGGGGGCAGAGGTAGGACTTAGCAACAGGTCTTCAGATGTTTATTCAGTGCTGTCTTAACAACCATCTGTTGTACTTTTAATTCAAAAGCAAGTATCCACATAAAGTAAAATATGTCTCAAAGGAATCACTCATTTTTCCCCTTCTTTTCTCTAATTTTCCCCTAAATCTGCATTCTTTTCGTGAATATCCTTTGGCTTGCTTGTGAGGATGTAATAGGATTGAGTGATACAGTCTGATTACTCTAGGTCTAGACACATACACACCACCTTTTCCTGATACCTCCCTAACGTACTTTCATTGGGTCAACATTGCCAAAGGTCTACTGGATACCTTTTTCTTTTGCATACAGGTGGATCACTTAGGAAACTGAAAGTGACTGAGGTTTCTTACCCGAAGGGATCCTCTCTCACAGTATTCAATCACCCCAAAGATCCTGGTGTCCAGCTTCACGGTGCCATAGAACTTGGTCAGGTTGTAGTAGTCAGACTGCAACAGCTAGGAAAACACATGTTTACAGAGCAAATTGGCTTGGAAGGGGTGACATTGTTGAGAGTGATGTGCCAGAGGAGTGAGCTCCATTTGAGGTCTTTGGGAAGAAGTATGGCTTGTGGTAAACTGAAAGCCTGTCCCCACTTCTTACTATATACATCCCCTTACTCAACAGCCTTTTCTTTACCAGCAAGAGAACTTGAATAAAAACTCTGGCAACTTTCAAACAGTATCAGGGGTAGAACATCCTAGCAGATTTCTAAGCTGTTTTCTACCATCAAGCCTTCCTTTTCAGTATCTCTTGGTAGAATTGGCAACCAAAAGAACATCAGAGGCTAGAGAGAGGGCTAGAGAGCAGTTAAGAAAGCTTGCTGCTCTCGTATACGAGACTTAAGTTCAGTTCCCAGCACCCACATCAGTAACTCATGACAGCCTGTAACTGCAGCTCCAGGGGATCCAATGCCCTCTTCTGGCCTCTACAGGCACTTGCACACACATGTGGCATACACACACACACACACACACACACACACACACACACATACACACACAAATAAATAACAAATAAAACCCATTTATAAAAAAAGCAGAGTTGTCTTCCTCTTTGTTTGAAGTTTTCTCTGTCAGCATCTGCAATGGCACTGCTGGGGGGGCTCAATATTGGGGGGAAATGGAATGAGGCTAATTCTGAAGAGTCAGAAGCATGGGGCACATACCTTGTTTAATTCTATCTTCTGTTTCTCGGTGAAGTTGCCATCACTGTGCTTAAGATCTTTGAGGATCACTTTCTGCCAAGATCAATTGAGGTACACAATGTTATAGGAGTGTTCTGCTTCCTGTCGACAAACGGTCTCACCAACCAAGGGAGCCACAGGGGTGGACACCCCTCTCTTCTCTCTCTCTCTCTCTCTCTCTCTCTCTCTCTCTCTCTCACACACACACACACACACACACACACACACATACACACACAAATAAATAACAAATAAAACCCATTTATAAAAAAAGCAGAGTTGTCTTCCTCTTTGTTTGAAGTTTTCTCTGTCAGCATCTGCAATGGCACTGCTGGGGGGGCTCAATATTGGGGGGAAATGGAATGAGGCTAATTCTGAAGAGTCAGAAGCATGGGGCACATACCTTGTTTAATTCTATCTTCTGTTTCTCGGTGAAGTTGCCATCACTGTGCTTAAGATCTTTGAGGATCACTTTCTGCCAAGATCAATTGAGGTACACAATGTTATAGGAGTGTTCTGCTTCCTGTCGACAAACGGTCTCACCAACCAAGGGAGCCACAGGGGTGGACTGTAGTCTAAGTCTTCGTATGTATATTATAGAAATTTGTTTGCATACTCTAGTACCTTGAACCTTTCTGGAGCAGTGACCACATCTGATTAATGTTTATATTCATGATGTTTAGTTAGTACTTTGGCTATTATAGGCTTGGGTTCAAATGTTTCTTGTAGAATGACCAGGAAAGGAAGAAAGGAAGGTGGGAAGAAGAGAGGGAAGAAAGGTAGCAAAGAGAGAAGGACAGAAGGAAGGACAGAAGGAAGGATGGAAGCAGCCCTCACTCATGAGAGTCTCAGGAATGAACCACAGTGAAAGGGCGACCCTGAGTGATTGAATCTCTCTCCTACTTCCCCTTCCTTCCTGTTCTCCACTCCTCAAATACTGTGTTTGTCCTTCCATGGCCCCAGAGCTGTGGCTTTTGTAGCCCTCTGTGTCTGTGTGAAGTTCCAGGAATGGTCCCCTGCAGAACCTGGGCACCCTACCATTGCACTCCGAAGGCTAGGGGCTGGGGCACCGACAGCTCAGAAGGCCCCCCATGTACACCGTGGGGAGACCACACTCACCTTTTTGTCATATTTGCACTGGCGGAGTCTCTGGATTGTATCTCGCCTCTTGTCATCATCAATCTGGTACAAGAAAAGATAAATTATTGCAGAAGGCTTTGCATTTCCTTCCAGCCAAGGACTGAGTGTGTCTGCCATGTGCTCAACAGCATGCTGGGACAAGTCAATGACTTCATTCCTAGTACTTGCCATCTCTTCCCATGTGTCTAACCACCATAATGCTTACTTCTGGGGTTTCCTCCCTCTATCTTGTGGCTCTACTTCTGCTTCATGACCCCTTTATTCCCCCTCCCATTGGGCATCATCACCTACAGTGACTGGCATTTGCTCCTGAAGAAGAATGCTAGACAAGCTCTCTGAGCATTTGAGTTGCAAATTTATGTCTAAAGGCCCAAGAGAGATGCAAATGAGGTGCTGGGGACAGATGTCTTTGGGGAGAGGTTCCATCAGCTCTGGGTTTGACTTAGCATTGCCAGATAGGGTGATTTCTCAAAAGCAGCTTGTAATATGAATCTTTATATGCTATTCTGTGATTTTGTATGTTGGCAATTGATTTGAAAAATGTGGGGTTGGAAAGATAGCTCAGTGGTTAAGAGCACTGGCTGCTCTTGCAGAGGACCTGGGTTCGATTCCCAACATCCACATGGCAGCTAACAACTGTCTATATTCCAGGGGATCTAATGCCCTCTTCTGACCTCCATGGGAATTGCATGACATGGGTGCATTTACATACATGCAGGCAATGCACTCATACACATAAAATAAAAATAACAAATAAAAGTTAAATATTGAACAACACACACATACACACGTGCACATGCATGCACACACACGCACACTCCTGTAGGCTAGAGGTGACTCTTGTTATACCAGTTACCAACTTCTGGTCTAAACATGGAGAAAAAGTTGGAACTAACTTAGAGTGTGTTATTATCCTTGTTAAAGTTTGCAAGGCTGTCTGTGAAATAACATGATCAAGTTCCAAGCATGATGCCTTCAACAATGCACATTAATAAATGTTGAAATGGCCCAAGGCCTGGATATAAAGTCCTCAAACAACAAAGCTCTTAAGTTGATTTTCAGGAACTAGCTTTCCAGACTGTACTTTAGCAGGAGCCAGCCTCTCTGGGCAATCACTTTTAACCTCACAGTCTCAAATTTCCCAAGAAGAACAAGACAGCCCAGCACCCCCCAAAGGAAACTGAGACCAGTAAAGAGGCACCGTGTCCAGTTACTCCTGCACAAAAGAACCCTAAGCTCAACCTTATCATCCAGTCAGCAAGCAGTGTCTGTCCTCTCCCCACAAATTCACCTGCTAAACCCATAGACAAGTGATTTGAACAGATAGCTCCTGGCTTCCTGGCAGGTCTGCCTGCATAGAACAAAGTCTTTCCTTTCTGCAAAATCCTGGTGCTGTAGCAGTAGCTTCTAAGTGCAGCAGGCAACAAGCTCTTGCTCAGTGTCAATAGCTACATTGCCTCCTCCTCCCCCTCCTCCTCC